GGCTTTTTTAACCAGTTGGCTAAGGGTACCGCCAACTGCTTTTTCGGAAGCACCCATCATCAAAGCAAGTGGGGAAAGAGAATTCGGATACATAAACGAAGATGTTTGAGCCAGTTTATCCTTTAGCTGTTTAATAGCATCAACAGCCTCGGAAGATAAATTGAATTCTTTTGGCTTTCCTTTAAGGAAATCTGTTAAAAGTTGCATTAATTATGCACAACCGGGTATGAATCTGCGATAAAAGTTAATTAGGCCTAGAAAACTTCCAAGTTGTGTTGGAGAACTAGGTATAGTGTATTGTCTGATGGTGTCCATTTCTTCCTTGATCGGCGTAATCCCTTCTGGGTTTATTGAGTGCACTAGAAATTCTAGAGTTGACACACAGAAAACACACATACTTTGATATATGTTCATTACATTTTCATCTAGCCGTTTTAATACTGCTCGTACATGCTGTTCGTGTGGTTGTAAATCGTACTTAGCGATTAACAAATCGTCTATGTACCCCTGTGCAAATAGCATATCTTGAAGTAGATTATCCATGAGTCTTTGAAATGTTTGTGCCGCATTCCTCAGGCCGAATGGCATGGGTACAGATGTGATGTGAATTTCTTTGCCCTGAGTGTAGTTCAAAGTTTCTTGAAGTGCTAGACATCGTTTTTTAGTGTTAACTAGAAATCCATATCTTTCTAAAACGTTCATCCAAAGTATAGCCAGATCTAAATGAGATACAGCGGAAACCCAGTGAAATTGCCTCCTGAACCCGAAATCTAGCGTTAAAGCTCTCTACCCAAATGTCGCGATTTTAGTTTTATTGGCAGCTTGAAAGGTAACTGGGGATGTTTCTCGACCCGGCTCAGATTTATTTTTAGGAATGGTACTAATAGCCTCACCAGTATCTACCAAGAAGTTCAAGTCCGAGTTTCTGTCTTCATCGTAAAACTGGCGACTGTTAACGCGCCCCTCCTCAGTCGTTACGACCTGGGGTATGGTAATTCGTCTCTCATATTCTTGAGATTCTGTTTAGCCCAGGCGCTCGGTTGCATGCACTTGGCTTAGTTGACACCAAACGTCTAGTGGTACCAACAGAATTGCCCAGATTGTATGAACACTTGTGACCTGTTTTGTGACTTGGATCTTGGTCGTTGTGGTGGCCTGCTCCTGTTTCTGTGACCAATTTGCATTCTGGCGACAGTCTCAGTGTGACATTTAACACTCACAATGAGTCTTTCTATTATTGGGTCGTTTAATAGTTCTTCTTTTTATGTATGATTTATCGTGCGTGATCCAGTTGGAGGACCTCTTTCCATTATTCTCTCGGCTGTACGCGCTAAATGAGATGAAGGGGTTTCAGGGTCTTGTGCATCCAAACAGTGTTGGACGTGGCACGGGAGAACTTGTATCCATCCTTGTTTAAGGACTGCTTCACCCACTGTGTTGTCGCCCACTAAGATTTGGTGACGTAAAAACTGTGACGGCGACCTATCACCCAATGCTTCTTCTTGGAAAAGCCTTCGGATTCCTTGACCATTTGATAATGATAAATGGTTTATTGTCTCTCGTCTTAAGGTGGTGTATAGCTGTGGTGATGACGGACTTAAAACTCTGGTGACTGAAGAAGGGTGGTTAAAACATAAGTCTCTATAGCGAATCCCTTCAGATTTGATATTGTTTCTCGTAAAAATGCTCTAGCTGAGCAAACCACTCTCAGGGTCACTACGATCAAGTTCTAGGATTTGGGCTTTCGTAGTCATAACAGTGTCTACTTCCACTGGTGACAAATCCTCCAGATATAAGACCAATGTAATAATATGATAAGAACGAAAAATGACCATTACAACATGAATACCATAGGATAAAAAGCTATATATATATATATAACTTTGGTTAAAGATAGTCTAAAGGTCTAACTTTACGACCAATTAAAAAATATTATTAATTAGTCGAATTTGTGTTCAGCACAGCTCACCGGTTTCGTGCCATTAGGTAACCTCCGTTCTGTTGATAGAACAAACCAGACAAGTAGCGAATAGATCTTTATTTAGATCACGAGACAGTCACAGTGGAGCGTGGGATTACCCGTTTAAACACACAAAGATTTTCAACATTCAATTTAAGATAATAGGAAATGTAATGCCGATACGATATAATGAAGTGAATGAGTACTTGAGGTCTTTTGTTTTAACATATTCATGGTTGTTTGAGGTTAACTCTTAACTAATCAACTAAATCTGTTACAAGCACACGTTAAAGTACACATACAGCTTACCATATGTGGCGATCGGTTTTCCGTTGACTGCCTGTAAGTTTAAAATCGGTTCGTGCAGTTGTTCGTTATAATACGCTGGAAAAACGATAACTTCTACGTCAGTGATGACGAGGTGGTGAACTTTCGTCACCATCTTAGTGACGTATAACAGTCGGATGTGCTCACCGTCTACGGTTGTCGTTAATGCGTGCTGGCTGGGAAGTTTCGAGTACTATTTTTCTTGTCAATCGGTTTGAGGCTTAGGAAACTGTAGGGTTCTCTGCAAATTCGAAGAGATTTACTTTGATGATTATGACACCAGAAACACTCAGAGTTGTCTGTATCTCGTGATCTAAAGACAGATCGTTTCCGTGAAGTACGCCTTCCAGGAGTTTGAGATCGTCTATAGTCATGACGAATGCTAAAGCAACGTGTCGGAGTATGACAGAGTTCCGTAACGTCATTTTGTGTCGTTTGAGCTTTTTTTAGACTGAATAGACTCCGGCGTTGTAAGTTCTTGTGATCTACAAAACTCGGTCGGCAGATTTAGTCATCTCGTTTTAAGATAAGAGCGCTGTCTGCACTTGTTGGGGAAGCTGAGACAAGAAAAGTTGTCTAATCATGCTTTCGTCGAAGGTCCATTGAACAATGACCCCTCTTATTCGTAGTAATATGTCTGTTGCTAAGTCATGTTGTAGATCGATGTTGTTGAGGTGTTGATCTAACCTTTGTCGACCGGTTAGATCTTCATGCTTAGGAATAGCCTTCCTTAGAGTTTCGTAAGGTTCCGAGACATCACTAGTAAACATACTAGGTGCGGTGGACTTGTTGAATTCGTGCGGCAGTTCCTTCAGTACTGCAAGGAATTGTGCACGTATGTCTGTCACGCCGTGCTCACAGAAGTCAGCTTCTCTGTAGCAGAACCAAGTTTCGATGTTGTCCGGTTACAACGGCATCAGTTGAAACGAGTGTGATGAGAGAGTTAGTCTTAAATAATTTAGGAGTCTGTTCGGTTATGATGAACATGACGTCTAACAATGGATGTGGTAAAACAAAAAATATGAAGAAAAATAACACAATATGTAAAATTCAAGTAAAAATATGATATATAAAGTTCCGTAAAGGAACAGGTGTCGCGCTCACCACTAGAGGTGCTACGAGTATTCGGAGTTTGACGACGCTTCAACCAGCAACACCTTTTATGGTCGAAGCGTGCCAACCCAACCCAATCGAAAATCAGAAGCAAAGATGATCAAAGATATATTTGATAGAATATCGATATATAGATGAGCGAATGATTTAAACTGGTCAGCAGTTGTAGGAGACATGAAGCACGGCGCGATCTGATGCGGGTGCGTGACCAAGCGCCCTTATCTAGGTGAGTCCACTAAGACCACTACGGTTAACATCAAATGTCGAAGACTTACAGAGCAATTGATTTTGGAGGGTTATTTACCCGGTACCTTGCCGAGCCAGAGATTAATGGTCGATAAAAGAACAGCTTCCTCAGTTACATGTACAGGTCACATAGCTGGTAACTCAGTGGTGTGGTTATGACATCTATCTTTAACAATACCCGTAGAGTGGACTTCGTTTAAATAGTTTGATAAGGTCTCAGCTTTGGTCAGATGTGACTCAGCTAGAATATCTGAATTTTCATGCAACAGCAATGGAGAGATGAACACGGTGGATCTGATGCAGATGTGAACGTGCGGATCGGTAAAGCAAGAGCAGCGTATCTACAACTGAAAAACATCTGGAACTCAAAAGAACCGTCAACCAACACCAAGGTCAGAATTTTTACCACAAATGTCAAGACAGTCCTGCTCTATGTGATGGAAACCTGGAGAACTACGAAAGCCATCATCCAGAAAATACAGGTGTTTATTAACAGTTGTCTACGCAAAATACTTCGGATCCATTGGCCAGACAATATCAATAACAACCTATTATGGGAGAGAATAAATCAGATCCCAGGGGAGGAAGAAATCAGGAAGAAGTGCTGGAAGTGTATAGGACACACATTGAGGAAAGCACCCAAATGCTTCGCAAGGCAAGCCCTCACATAGAATCTTCAAGGCCAAAGGAGGAGAGGAAGACCAAGGGACACATTACGTTGAGTAATGGAGATAGACATGAGAAAAATGAAAAAAAATTTGTATAGAACTGAAGAGGAAGGCTCAAGACAGAGTTGGATCGAGAATGCTGGTCAGCGGCCTATGCTCCATTGGGGGAAAAGGCATAAGTAAGTAGTTAAAGAAAAGTAAAAAAATAATGGAGATACCATCTCTACGCTTTGTTCTCCTTTTAATATAAGAAAACAATCGTGTCGGGCAAGTACAGCTACCAAATGCTAACTGTATTTCGTCGATGGTGCGGCATCTAGCTATGGTCTGATCGCCGGAATGTTGACTTGCCGGATATTTGGACGGGGTGGGCAGATACATACTATATATTGAGTCCGAGGCCTAAAGTACAGTACAACCTCGTCACTGTTTGCTAGTGTAGGAGGTACTGAATGTCGGTGTCATCATCACAGTGATGTGTAAAGGAAAGGTCCACCAATGAGTGTTCACGCTACGCATTGTTTAGTTAAAACGTTTTTTTCTCTTGTTTTCATGAATATGAGTTCATTACTCGAAGAAATGGTGTTCCGCTGCTAATGAATGAGGACGTTTGTTGAACTAAAGCCCTCCTTACTTCTTTCACAATCATTTGAGATCTTTGAGATTTTTCTTCTGTTTTAGTTGGTGCGGATGCGGCGCGCGATTGTTGGGATTTACAATCCTATGAGGCTTGGTGTTTACTTATTTACACAACAGTACTCTGCGTAAGTTGTTCGTGGTTTATTTGCTAGCTCTGGCTCAATATTTTAGTACTGAAGCTAGAGTTTTGTATTAAAGGCAGTTATATAACAGTGTGATCATAATAACACTCACTGACCAAAGTAGGACTTTTAATCAGGTAATTTATTGTCTTAAATATCATATAAATACAGAATAATTATCACTTATATTTAGTAGTTACTCAATCAACTAGTTTGAGCAGATGACCGAAACAGAAGAGGCGGTCATCTATCGGCGTAATGTTGTGAAAGAAAACAATAACCTACCAGGAACTATAGATAATATTGATAATGAGTCAGAATCTGAAGCCGAATCCAAAGAAGTAAGACTAACGTTGATGGAAGAAATATTGCTGTTGGGGTTGAAAGATCGAGAAGTTGGTCTATTTTAGTCATTTATAGAACTCCGTAGGGATACTTATCATTTTGGAATGATAGTGTATGTTGTGGACTCCGAGGATGCATACTCGTTGAACTTGGTCTCAGAAATCGAATTGGACTAGAGCCGAGTGGGATGCGTCGTAGGAACCTGTCGTCTAGATGTATTGTTGTCAAAAAGAGCGTGCCGACTGGTGACGCATTGCTAGATGAGGCTCTCAAACATATCAGAGATAATAAGCCTGAAAATACGAAAACATGGATTGAATATCTCAGCGGTAGGTTTATATGTACATATTCATAAACGCTTTTAGGTGAAACATGGAATCCATTTAAATTACCATTACAGCTCCGCAACGTCAGGGAAAGGATAGCGAAAAGCCTCGTAGAAAAACGCATATGCACAACAGAAAAACAAAATTTTATCCTTTTTGACATGATGACGCACCCCTTAGTAGACCTTGGAAGTAAAAACGCGTAATTAGTCGTATTCAGGATGTTGTCCTTAATAAATGGAGCACAGATGTTCAGAAAATCGATAAGCGCCTACTCTCTCTCGTGCTCTTGTCTCACTATTCCGATGTCTTAGAATGTGCTTTACAACATCTTCCAGACAATGTTTATGATCTTGCCAAAAAGCGAATTGACGATGCACTCCAACTCGACTTCTTTGCAGAGGCCAATAAAGAAGGTTCTTGTGAAATGCTGTGGGCAGTTATGGCTGCTCTTAATTCTTAAAAATCAAATTCCCAAATGTCTTGGCTGTGATTATTTGTGTGAAGCTCCACCTCACTATTTTCATGCAACCTTTAATCTAACTTTTGTATTTTTACGAAACAGTTGAGTTAATATCTAATCAGATCTTTTCGCAATGTTGGTTTACACTGTGGTTTAATTTTTAACGGCTTTGCAAACTTTTCTCTCACTGATTTGGTTCGCCTTGCTAATTTAGGGGATTTTATGACCTATACATCTCTAATGTTATTAGTCTTAGTACAATATTTATACACTGCTAAGACTAAAAATCCTGTAAAGATGCGTCACTTCCTACACCATCTCCATAAATATCTTAGAAAAACTCAAAGTGATGTCCATTTGTGTACATCTCTGTCGATTTATTCAATAAAAATTTGAAATTAAGTCTTCTCAATATCCGCTTTGATATAAGGACTGTTCTCTTAGGTAACTTGATACTACTTTTTTTTTAAAGTAATTCAGCTGTTAAATCTTGTGTTGAGCCATATAAGTTCTATTGTATGGAGTATAGAAGTAACATGTAGACATGGTTCCAACTTTATGTACGATAAACCAACCAGCTTATTTGTAAACAGCGAATCTATGATAAGTATGTTAGACAATTGTTATAATTGTGGTCACTTGTTTAAAAGTTTTTATTTTGTATTTTAATTATAGTTGAGTAACATTAACGAACTAAAGTATACTAGTGAGGGTGACTAACATGCTCTGGTTTATTTATTCGGCATGGTAAATTAGTGTTATCACGACTGAAATGTACAGGTTTCTATTTACGAACTACATAGTTTCAAGAGTAAAGCAAAAAGCCCGGCTGTGAACAGTCTTTGAGGTCAGCGCTCTCTTCGCATTAGGTTTTGAAAATTTATGAAAGGGATCGAGTGATTATCGGGCTTTTATAACACGTTACTTACAATTGTTTTTCGACTGTATACAGGATGTTTGTTATTGATGTCGCTTACTAATACGTAAATCGTAGAGCTAGTCGTTTTTCTATTGTCTTTTCCAAATATTCATAATGGTTTTCAGACTGGTTAACAGCTGAAAAATGAAAATAGAACGACAACAATTCAATAGCTTAGTTTCCATGCTAATGTATGTATGTATCATCAATATCACTGATTCAAATAGTATAGCAAGTATTCGGAGTTTATGGCATTTGGGTAATTTGCGCTTAGAGTCTTCATTTGTAACTCAACTAAGAATCGATTGATTTCATTGACGCACCCCACTGCTAACATAAAAGAGACTAGTGATACCCTAACTACGTAAACCTAATATGCAACTCGTTGAACCAGAATTAAAAATTGTTCGGAAGAAATACTATACGCCCATGCCCAATAGTAGGTCATTAAGCTGCTCTTCTGTGACTAACTTCGTTTGCCTTTGTTTTGTTATCATCTTGAACTGAAAGATTTCGATAGTTTCTGTCTCAAACTACACTAAGTACTTTATGGGACTTATATATTATTCAGGAGGACTACTCTTTTCAGACTGATAGTGACACTTCATGCAACTAAGGCGTTCGACTGCCCTCCGGTTGCCAAAAGAGCAGTTCACCAGTCATCTCTAGCAAACATCTTGACTGGAAACTTGGAGAAACTGTAGGTCTCGATGCTCGTAAACTTTAAAAGTAATTAGTTAGTCTTGGATTTCAGTATGATTTTCACTTGAGGTAGAGGTTTGGGATACATTATAATCTCATCAGGATAATAAAAAATAAAATAAACCTATGCATTTACAGGGCATAATTCTAATAGTTCCGCGTTAACTATTCAGAATGTGCATTTCTGTATGTGGAGGGGTTAGATCGAGTTTTTGTCGTTTGATTGAGTTCTTGATTTCATATGTAGTTTGGCTTTTCATAGCTCCCCATCTACTGTTCATTCTAGTATTATCCAAACTCACAAATGGTGTCCACGAATCTTAGCATACGGCTAGTCGTTATGGAGTACATGGCTCATATTTCAAGTAGTCGAACATGTGAATGAAGAATTCGAATTCACGTTCTTAGTGTGAGGGTAAATCCGATGTTTGTCGGCTTGTGGAGAAAGCGTATATTATTTGCATGATTTACTAGTCGGATGACGTCTTAGTGGTCTAAAGGTTGGGTATTCGTGCCCGAGATCGACGGTCCTGAGTTCGAATCCCCTCTTCCAACAAATGCCCTGGTGCGGTCAAGAGTGGGGAGAGTCAACTCTCCCTCCCGAAACGCTCTCACATGGCCACGTGCATACAACCGCTGCCAGGGAAGTCCTCCTAGCGGCATTACTGTTTACGAAATTGAGAATTCGGAAACCGAATGTCCGGCGCTTTAAACGGGACGGTGGACACGGAGGGTCCGTCTAGAGGAGTTGGAAATCCCTGATTCTAAAGTCGGGTTTACAAACTTGTAAGTAATGTAGTAATCCCAACTTTCGAATACTCAAATATATTCTCACGACATTTTACCATACACATGTACAATACAAACGACAGTTCTCATTGAGTAGTAAAAGAGGTACAATTCTTCCATCCTTTCTGCATTTCCTTTACAACTAAGTTCATACGATCACCTCTTGAAAGAAGTTAGACATCTAGTAGCTTCTGGTTACTTTCTAAAATTAGAGCATCCAATAAGCGGTTAAATTTCATATTCTTAAAGTATTAGATTTTCTGATTCTAACTGGGCGTGTACTCACGTACAATCCAATTATCGCTATCTACAAATATCAAATAAACTTTATAATAGTCCGTCTTTGAATAATCAATGTCCGACTGGATATAAATACTAAAACAGATTAGCACAAGCTCCTCGAGTCGATGTCTCATAACTCTATTGAGTCCAATTTTCGGAGAATTAGTTGGAAGAAGATGAACTGAAGTGTAGTATGGTCCATAATACTCTATTTAGCTGCAGTGGATTCATAAAGAAATTTATTTTCACTTAAATAAATACGTCTTGTGGCTAAGATTGAGATAGGATAACTGCTAACAAGCCCTGAAAACTTTATGAGCTATGTAAAATAATTATGCTGATTTAGGTTTCATTACTTCTCCAACGAAATCTTGTTGAATCGCACTGTTTATTTCTAAGCTATAAAGTGACCAAAAATATAATGGTCATTTCTAACATTAATCAAAGTCAAAGGTCCACGCCGTATGAAACTTAGGATACTTAGATTTTATGGGCAATCAGAAACGTGAACGATTCAATTTGGGGTAAGTGGTCTGAAGATTTGTCTTTAGGTTTAGATTTAAAGGTTATTGGGTTAGATCTTGTTTGAAGTGTTGTGTGACCAATGCTGGGGTGTTTCCAAACGAAGAAAAAACAGTTTCTCATTATCCATCTGTTTTCAAGTGTTCTTCAATGCACAACGAACTATTGTAAATTCAGTAATATACTACGATCTTTTGAAAGGCTATACAGAGATAAATGAACTAAACCCATGGATCAATATGAATGGTCACATATTTATACGCATAAGTATAATGAGGGTAAATAAAACCTTACTAAAGATTGTTGCGATATTTTGAGGTCAATCACAAAATCAGAGCAAGATATTCCGGTTAGCCAAAGAAATAAGGATGGCAAATCATAAATGTGAAATAAGCAATGACAAAATGATTTATAATAACTTTATAACAATACATTAAATAACCAAGTACTTATAATTAAAGCGGTTAGATTCTGAATACTTCGGTAATTAATCAAAATATATTATCATATCTTGGTTAACTTGATTAGTTTTTGAACATCTGAGATATAACAGTAGTAATCAGTTAATGTATTGTTTACAACACTAATGAGATTCTTTAGTCACAGTTCATTACTGAAGTGTTTGCATGTCATCACAAATTAGTGAATAGTGATCGATACACCAGTGAATTACTGACGTAGTTTGTCGCATACCTCCGCTTGTTTTCATTATTATAATAGCTTTTAGATTAGTTTTGATATTGCACAATCATCAGACAAATTGACTACTAAGCACTAGTCTTCATTGCCTAGTTGATTTATGTCACGTATTACTTATAAAGCACTAGGATTATTGGGATAAAGTAGTAGTCCTCACCAGGTAATCATCGGTTTAATCTGTAATATTTTATGTTACGATGACCAATCTTTATTTTAATTTATTCATAAGACTTAATGTTTCTAAAATTTGAATTTCCTGTTTTCAATTGTCCTTCTTGTTATGATGTGCTTTCGTCTAATCCTGATAGGCACGATTTTTATATTCGAGGACAACCTGCTACATGAGTGGAAAGATTAAGAATGGCCATGAGCAAGTGCATGCGGTTGATTAGTTTATAAATATGTATATGTACATCCTTCAAGTGTTTGCATCAAATCTTAAATTCCAGAAATGGCTTCAAGCCAGTATATGCTTTCCTTAACACCCCTCGATTACTTTTTGATCTTTAACTAATATGTGGCCACATGTACACGATGTCTGGGCTCGTATAGCACATTACCCCCTCTTCTGTAAAGAGATCCACCACTTCTGATTCAGGTGCTTGAGTTCAGATGAGGGGTACATTATTATCTCTCCCTAGTTGTGTGTAGTCTGTTTACTTTTTGAGTTGTTTATCCTTCAATATCCCTATTTGTTCACATTATTCTCAAATACGTTATCAAAGTATCTATACAGGATATCTGAAAGCCTTGTTCCAACTCTTGTTTTTTGAATCCATATCTCATTTAAGTCGACTGTTATATATCAAATAACTAGTGGGTCCACAATAGAAACGGGACCGGGAGTCGTAATTAGGTAAAATGACTATAGGTTCAAGTTGTTTGACTTTGTCTTTTACATTTTACTAGTTAAACTCATGTAGATGAAGTGGGGTTGAAGCATTCAATGAATTATTCAGAATCAGCTTATTTGAACATTTATTTGAAATTTTGGCATCATGGTAGAAAAATCATACAAACAGTTTGATTTCGTCTGTCGATAAGTGGTGGTTTCGGTTTTCGAGACAGTCTCAACATACCTTACATTTATGCTTATAATTGGTTTGTATGTAGATGGAATCATCCATAATAAGGATA